CGGAAAAATAAATGGTGGTAGCCGATTCCTTAAAGAAGTCGTGTTAGAAAGAAACCTAGTAAATCCCACAGTGGTGGACCGCCAACCATTTAGATAGTGCGAATTCTATAACAAAATCCGATGAAATTTGGCAGCTGGATTGAATCCAAACAATTCCTTTTAAACTTCTCTGTGGTAAATGCGACAGAAAAATGCAAAGGTATACAACATCTCCTCGCAACGCCAGTGAAACAATTTGATCAGAAATAACTCTATTGTCGACGATTCGAGCCCGTCTTCGCTGCATGCGGTAAAGTGAAAGGAGTTGGCACTGGGGTGTCCCAGCCCAGAGATGAAAACAAAATTCCACGTGAGGTCCAAACTGCTCCTTGTGAAGTTGCAAGCAATGTGCCGGCATAAGGTCCCTTCTATACTGTGCAATCTAAGCTTTTTAGAGGCCAATTTAGCCTTCCCTTCTAAGTGACCACGAAAATGACAGCGAAATGTCACTTGATATGTCGACGCAGCGGATTTTGAGGCTGGCTGAGGCATTATGAACCCATAGTTTTGTCTATCTCTATATTACTAATTTTGAAAACAAAATTGTTCAGTGTGCGTGTGGCCGGTGATGATGTATGGATTTGAGACGTTGTCCTCTACTACTGGTAAGAAGAAGCTCAAAGTCGCTCAGCAAGCTATGGAGAGGGCTATTTTCGGAGTTATCTGCATGATAGACCTAAAAATGTGTATATATAGGAAGACCGCAATAGAAGCAGAGTAACTGACATAGCTCAACGGATCAGTAAGCTGAAGTGGCAATGGGCCAGCTTTATAGCTCGAAGAACCGACAACTAATAGGGAAGAAAGGTTCTCCATTGGCATCCTCGTACCGGTAGACGAAGTGTAGGACGGCCACCAACTAAATGGAGTGACAACCTGGTAAAAGATGCAGGATGTCGATGGATGCAGGTGGATAGGAACCGGGAAGTTGATGTTCAGCAGCGTACTTGTGAAGGGCTATAATGACGAAGATGATGATGATATTAGTAATAAAGTGGTCGTACCAAAATTGTATTTTTTTTAAATAGAATACAACAAAAAACGAGCACACAGCATCTGATGGTAAGTGGATGCTGTGGACCATAGACATCTACATACATCAATCCTCAGATGGTGCAGATGCGTTCTTGCCCTTGAGTCGATCTCAATCAGATGGAATGCCTTTCCAGTAAAATAGGTCTCTGGTTCACTCACCATACGAAACACAGCAGCATTAAGCTGCTATTTGACGCTTGTATCATCACTTTACAAGAATAATTTTGTTGTAGCATGCCTCTGGCACGTATTACAAACTATATCGTGATGTAGTAGCTACAGAAATAACGATTTTTATAGGAGCAAGCATAGCATACGAGCACACATCGACCTTATAAGAAGTAGAAGATGTAGGACAGTCAAAATATTACTGACGCGTTGTTACCCCTTGAGACTATGTACCTTAGTACCCCATTACCATTAAAAACGAGTCTCCGTCATTCCCCATACGAAACACAGCACCACTATGCTGCTATTTTACGCTAGTATATTTATGTTAGTGTAATACCCGGTTGATCCAATCTATTAGTGTTGCAGACATAACATACTGCAGTGTGGCTGTACCTTGTATGATTTGTCAAAAGCGACTCATATTTACTACTCTAAAAGCGTTTATACTTTAATTGTTACAGTTACGTATTTCACTTTAACTATAACAACGTATGCTTGTGCTTCCTGATGTATGTGAAGTGTCTGTGTAATTGACATTGTATTCAAGATTGACTATAACATAGGGGTTACGTCCAGTAATTGTAGTCTAGAAACTTAGTGATTTTTGTTTGTCTACGCACTTACGGCTCATTAATAAATCATACTCGAAAAATTGCGTCTAATATTTGAAAGTGGTTCGCCGACGTCATCATTCACAAAGGCCAGTATTGGACATGAACTTTACCAAATGTAGGGAGGAATTACCTTAATCAACACGCTTGCGAAATGATTATAACGCCATCTATTTGAATTCTTAAGATATTTTAGTATACATTTTTTTTTTACAGGACAAGGGTGACAAACGAGCACACAGTCCACCTGATAGTAAGTGGTTGCTGTGGCCCATAGACATCTACATCTATCTTCGATTACAAATAAAAATGCAGATGCGTTGTCACCCGTGAGGACTAAGATGGAATGCCTCGTTTGCAGTAAAAAGGGTTTCCGGTTCTCTACACTCACCATACGAAACACAGCAGCGTTAAGCTGCTATTTTACGCTTGTATTCTGTGAGAGCGTGGTCCTTCCCCGGTCGAGCCGACCCATTCGTGCTACAACTATAATATAGCTGCAGCATGGCTCTACCACGTATAAATTTAGTCACCTCTTACGATATCCATGAGATGAATTGGAGTGATGTGTTCCCTTACGCCGCCACCACACAGCAAAAAGTTGGAAGTGGTTTTTCCACTTAATTAATCAATAAAATATGCCTTTATTTATAGAAGTGTCGAGTCGTACGATATTCAAACATTTTTTTATTTATACGATTATCCTATGCTTTATATATTTTTTTCGTCCGATATAATACAACAACCTTTATTCATATAAGGAATAAATAACAGCTATAATCTTAAAAGATTTTACTATTTACTTTTTTCCTTTTCTGGCACGTGATGACTTTAGAATGTTAATTTTATTGCTTCGCTACGGAACTCGCTATGCCCCTAAGCAATCTCGCTACTATAGCATCAATGTAAAGGTTCATATTGACTGTTTCTCAGCAATAATGTGAAAAAGAGTTGCCGTTTGCGAAATATTTCTAGTAGGTTTCGAAGTTCGAAATCTAATAACTGAATTACTTAGTTATTTACAAATAATGTTAGTATAAATATTAAATATCCGAAATAAACTAATTTATTATAGAAAACAACAATTTAAAACATATAAGACTTATTACTTGCCATTAAAGACTAAATAGTCAATTTAAACTACGATGCACATTAAAAAAGAGAAATAATGAATTTACCTAATTTTGTAAAGTAGGTATAAGAAATAACTATAAGGTCATCAAGCGTCTTATGCAATCTTTTTTGTGTCAAATAATCTACGCATTGAATTTATTTAGACGTTAAGCGAAGACTTAATTAAAAGGATTTTATTCTATACATTTTTATTTACCCAGGAGTGCTTAAAAAATAACGCATCATCATCAAAAAAACGACGAAAAATATTTTTCTCTATACTTAATTATTATCCATTCATATGTTTGTGCAGTGCGGCTGGTAAGAACTTTGGTTGTTTTTTAACCAATAGTATACGCCTTTCGTATATATGTAAAAAGTGTAGTGATTCAGTGAGAAAAGGAAGCTTATGTACTTAGCACTATAGTGCAAGGAGGAGGACTATAAAATAAATTTAGTTTTTAGTATTTTTTATTGGTTATGTAAAGTAAATAAATATGCTAAAAATTGTTTTCAAAGATTATATTCAACCTCATAGAAATCATCCAACCTAACATAGTGGGAACCAACAATCTTACTCAAAGCAAGACTTTTCACTTTCGAAAAGAGACAAGAGTGTAATACCCCTTTGTAAAAAGTCTACACATCTTTGTTTTCAAAAATAGAACACGGTAGCCGGGAAACAAAACACATTCGTATTCATGCAAAAGGCGCAAGGTTTAAACGTTTGAGCGGTAACCTTTTCATGCGACGAGTTATGTAGACAGGGTCTGCTCTGTCCCTGTGTGCTACGTCGCTACAGGCAGTCAGTGTGCTACGAGACGCGCTACGGATTGGACTCGTGTTTCGTGCTACGCGAATCCAAAAATCGTGAATCGTTGTGAATACGGTGAATGAAATATTTAAATTGTATTTTTGGTTGTGATTAATTTTGGACGACTGTGAACGAAAGAACTTATAGTATTTTATAAAATACAATAATAAGTTTTTATTTAAAGAAAAATATATAAATTTTTGTTCACGTAAAATCATTTTCTTTTAATGTAAACGCGAAAATTACAATAAAGTAATAAATACACGCGTGAAAACTACTTTTCAACATTTTATGCAGAAATCATGAAAACAAAACTGGTTACCAATGAGTTAAAATTATTAAAGGAATAAATAAAAAAAAAAACAACAATATAAGCAAGTTCTTATTGTATTTATCTATAACTGAATATTATAAGCTTAAATTTTATTAATTTAAATAACTAACTGCTTTATTTACCTACTAACATTCTACAATTGTCATTTATGAATAAATTAATATTTTTATATGAATAAACTGATTAATAGATTTATAACTATAACACAGAAATACTTTGAAATTTTTTAATTTTGTTTGTAGTTTTGATATCAAAAATATTTTTTGATATATATATGTCAGGATCGTATCATATAAAAGTCCGTACTTTCTGCCTACCCTTCTGTGTGACCGAGGTGAGAGTTTATGTATGTATGTATGAAATTATAAAATTGTAAAGTCGCTCATAATTTTGTTAAATTTGCATTTACTTATCCGTAACTTACTGAAAGTATTTAAAAAGTACTTTCGTAATAATGTGAAATTGTTCGTAAACAAATCGAAGTGCTCAGTTGTGTAGAATGTTCCTTGTTTCGATAACCCTCCGTTTATATAAAAAAGTGTATAATAAAGTAATAAAAATAATTGTATTTCCTTAAAAAAACTAAAATATATACATTGACTGAAGCTTCGGATAATTAAAACTGCTTCTGTAGGGCAAAATCAAAGAAAATCATTGAACACAGGTACTTATATTTTTATCGCTGCCTTCCTTTCAAGTATTATATAAACTATTATTTTAAAGTTCAAAACGAAAACGATGTGATAACTAAATAAAACTATGTACAAAAGTAATTAAAAACAACATGAGAAAATAATATGAGTGAAATCAATGAACTAATCAGTGGGGAAAAACAAAATGCTTTGTTTTAAGTGACTTTAAAGAAAAAATTGAAGTGAGCGGAATGAGGACCGGAAAATCATGTTTTTGGACGATGCTACAAGCTTTAGCTTTTTTACCTACTATGGCTTTGAAAGGTAAGTTAAAGGCAGTCTAAATTAGAAATATCATTATTACAGCCTATCCATGATCACAGCTGATCGTAGGTTTCCCCCTGTAATTACCACATAAAAATAATAGTTACCATAGTTGGTAAATATCCCCTCTAGGAAGATGCTGCTCCTGCTTTAATTTCCCGCTGTCATCTTTAAGAACACCAATGGGGTGATATGAGGAAGCGGATTTCATTACATCACATCAATACAGTGAAATTATTTTGGAAATATATTATCAAACAATACTATCATATCTGATTTCTAAACGGCAATTCTGTTACTTTAAAAACTTGTATTGATTTATCTTTAAATTAAATTGTATGGATTTCTATTTGTCTCAGTCCACCTTCTACCTACTAATTGCCTTAACATGTGGTAAATTCACGCTGCAGCGTAAAACGGCTGCAATACGAATGGGGACCACAACTGATGACTCTCTCTCGCTCAGAAAACTAACTTAAAGTAATAACTTAATGCAGCGTATTGTTTGGTGAGTAGCGTGTTTCGGAGATACATTTTACGAGCACTTTGGAGTTTTAGTCCTCAGGGATGACAATCCGTTTGTTTTTTATTGTTAACCGATGATAAGTCATAAACTCTTAAGCCACAGCATCTACTTAAAATCAAATAAGACGTGTACTCGTTTGTCACTTTTCTTTTTATGAAAAAGAATATTTTATTACCATATAAAATTTTCATTGCCGTTTTCTTTTAAGAACTACAAAAGCTAGGACAGCATATTTTTAAGTATGCTGCCATAAATCAAATATCATTACAATTTTTACATTTAGTTGATATTGGCAAGGATGAAAGTGTTCAAAGTATTTTCAAAGTTCAAATTATTTTATTTTAGCCGATACAAAGCACTTATGAACGTTAAAGCCTTTGCCGAAACAGTCTGAGTACTGAGAAATGTCCATGAGATAGTTCAAAGAGATTTTCAAATAATATTAAAAAAATATAACGACAACCACATAATTTTATTTACATGAATATAACTAAACAACCTGTAACATCCTATTTTAACCTCTCGGGTTTAATTTTCCAAAATACTATCTTAGCGAATCAGTACACTATATATATATATATATATATATATATATATATATATATATTTCTTTTTGAATTTATTTTCATTTTGCAAATAACAGAATTGATATTCAAAATTAGTTTCTTGTTAGTGTAAAATAATCCATTAGTCAATTTCGTCCCGTGGATGTCGTAAGTGGCGACTATAGGAAATACCAAAAAAATTTTTAGGCTTCTGATAAATGTCAGTTTACCATCTCTTAACGCCATACGTAAAATATCCACATCGTCGACGAGCGGCAGCTGCTAGCAAATTATTCAACTCATTTTCAGTGTACATTACGACGAAAACCGTTTTTTACGAATGCGTCGCATGTCAACAAAGACAATCTTGCACACACTCTCTAAAACACCGAAGGAATGGCTATATTGCACCTGTGCCTAAGACTGATAAGATTGGTGTTAACCATATTGGTGTATTTAATAAGCTTCCTGCCATGCCTGCCTTTCTATAGGGCCCAATGTCACAAGGTAGCATTTTGCAGCACCAGCCCATGGAAACAATACTCCAAGCACTACCGGACCGGTGCTTTATATAGTGTAAGCAACTGTCGCGGCGTGAAGTATCGTCGCACTTTTGCAAGTACACCTGTTTTTATTACTTTGGTCCTGACCTCGATAAGCTACCCAAAAATAATATTCAAGCAATCCTCAACCCCCAGCAACTGATGTCGGTCGGTGAGTTTTAATGATATGAAACACGGCAGCATTAAGCTGCTATTTTACGTTGGAATTCTATGAGAATGTGGGCCATCCCTGGTCGAGCCAACCCATTCGTGGTAAAACCTTAATATAGCCCGCGTGACTCTACTACATGTGATAGATTGTTAATCGCAATACTAAAACCGCACCGCACGAGATGATATACCGCTGTGTATCAGAGGCCAAGAGGTCTTTCTGACCCTTTCCCATTCTACTTCATACGACACCCAGGTAACGAAATGGAGAGATTTATGCTCTTACGCTGTCATCACATGGCATAAGATAATCAGTCATCTGAATCACGCGGTTGTCACATATCCATGTTGGTGATTTAAATGTGAAGAAATATACTCTATATAACAAATAAATTAAAAAAAAAACACTATAATATTGTACTGCAAAAATACTTTTCTACAAACATATTGTTCCTGTATTGAGATTCGGTACATCAAACTATACATGTAGGTATTAACATATCGGACATTATGAAGTTAAGTAAAAAATACAACCTACATATATACTTCCCGATGCTGGGTACGGGCCTTTCCTGATAATAGAGTTTGTTAAGGAGAAATTAGATTACTGCCTTGCTATAATAGTTTGTATTTGAAGACTACATCTACTCGAAATATTGTAATATCACAGACAAATAATACTAATTTTAACCTAAGATGTGGTGTTTTCCTTGCGATGTCTTCATTTACTGCCCAGTATATGGTAAATCAGTATTTTTGTTATGAGATACTACGTGCTAAATATGAATTCTAACTTTTACTTTTAATATCCTCCGTTACCAAAATTCATTCGTAACCGTTGAAACTTTCGTGAAGGTTTCATAAAATTTATTTTACCTACAATTCAGTATACCTTCAAAGCAGTTTTCTGCATTAGCATTCGGTGACAGGTGCGAACTGCCACCGTTGCTTTTGTGTGACGTTCTCCGTTACATTACGGTGTTTTTTTTTTATTAAACTGCTTTTTATAGCCATTTTGAGTTGTGGTTACTGGTTATGGCTATTCTATTTTTTGAAAAATTATAATTGCGATAGTATATTGTCAATTTAGATCATGTTTATCTTCGTTATATCATGAATAGCTGTATAAAGTTTACTTTAAAATATTTTTAAAATAATGTATACGTGATAGATCCAATACTGCAGCTATTTTTTCAACCGAATTCAAAAAGGAGGAAAGGTTTATAATTCGTCGGAATCTTTTTTTTATGTATGTACACCGATTACTCGAAGCCGCCAGAACCGATTTGGAAATTTATTTTTTTTTGTTTCAAAGGTAAACTTCCCAGGTGGTTCCATTTAAGTTCCATTTTTAATCGAAACCGCTCGAGCGGTTTTTAAAAAATCAAGAATAAATTATTAAATTTATGTTAAAGTCGGTTGGACAAAATTTTAAATTTTACCACTTGTGGTTGTAGCACGAATAGATCAATTTTTCCAGGGGAGGCCCATGCTCTCACAGCCTTACCAGCTTAAAATAGCGGCTTAGTGCTACCGTGTTTCGTATGGTCAGGGTACAGAACCAATGACTTTTTTACTGGAAACGAGACATTTTATCTTAGTCCTCAGGGGTGACAACACACATGCATTTCGATTCTTAATTGAGAAAGACGAAGAATGTAGATCCACTTAACATCAGGAGGACTATATCGGTTGTCACCTTATTCTGTATAATAAAATGCATCCTATTTAAATTTAACCCACTAATATATTTCATATATAACGTCGCGTCGCGATATTAACAAGATATATCTCATGTTACTCACATATTTAATGCTAAAATAACTCTTTCGCTGGAGGACCTCAGCATGATGCTCAATGACCTCAATAGCTTTAAGGGTTAAAGGGTTTAAAGGGTTGGTCTTAAAATGAACTTTAATAAGACAGATGTCATGTGTAACGTTCACGACATACGTATAGAAAACTATCGGTAGTGGTTATGTACCTAAGATATATTGTCCGATTAGTTGAGACCAACTTCCAACCAAGAGGTTAATCGACGGATCCTACTCGGCTGGGCAGTGTTCGGGTTTGTTGAGGACACATCTTGTCACGTATATAACTCTAAGCTTAAAAACAAAAAGTGCACAAATAGTGGATGCGGCTAGTGATGACATAAAGATCTGAAACGTGCTCCTTCACTATTATATGAGAAAGCTCAAGTTCGCTCAGCGAGACTGAAATATAGACATCACATAGTAGAATAAGAATCACTAATATTTGCTGAAGTGACAATGGGCCGGACATATATCTGGACGAACCGAAAATCGATGGTGGACAAAAGTTATTGATGCCCAATTAGATGGAGTGACGACCTAGTGAGAGATGCAGAAAGATAAAGAAAGGTAGATGTAGATAGGAAATAAGCAGAATTGTTACAATAATTTTTGAAATAAATAAAATCTCACACCAGTGAGATCAAACTTTAGATTATTATATAATATTTTGAAAGTAGATAGTTACCGTGTAGTGGTGGTGTAAGAATATCTACATATAGGTGGGTGTCGTAAGAGGCGACAGAAAGAAACAAATCGGTAAATGAGCAGCAGCGTATTCCGAATAACAAATTAAAAAAAATGGCAGTAGCCAAACCGCTTGCCAATCGTCGCAACTTTGGCAGATATCCCTCATATGATGTTCATATATAGGCCTCCCCCATACTCTGCCGTTTCAGAAGTAGACTTTAATAGGCTGTAACAGTAAAGGTTGGAAGTAGGTAAGAAGTTCAACGGTCGTTTCGTATAAGGTCACGCGCGCTGCGAACTTTAGTCTTAGATAGAACGAAGTAAAATGGCACGAACGGGCACTAGTGATCTCAGTTAGTTCAGTTAGAAAGAAATAAAATAAAAATGTAATTGTAAAATAATATATTTTTTTATGTATGCTTCCACGTACTGTTTTTGAGAGTCATTACGAGAGAGAGTCTCGTAAGTAGACTCAACAAGCCGGTTTCCCAAAAGGATTTAGTACCATAGACCACATACATACCCTTCGGCTAATTATACAGAAGACTGAAGAGAACAATATGCCACTTTGCCTTGCGTATGTGAACTATGAGAAAGCCTTTGATTCCGCCGAAATTTTAGCGTCGATAGAATCCCTTCAGCAGTGCCAAGTTGACTGTCGGTATATCGAAGTGCTGAAGTGTTTTTATAGTCGGGCTGCGATGGCTATCCAAGTACGGAACCAGACTATGAAACCTATCTAACTGCAGTACGTAACCCTTTCTCACACCTCAGAAAGGGTTACGTTATATCCCCCGAAACTCTTCATCGCTGCATTGGAAGACGTTTAAGCTACTGGACTGGAAAGGATACACAGTATTAACATCAATGTCGAGTATATCACTCGCATCCAATTTGCCGACGACATAGTCCTTATAACAGAATCGCTGGAGGATCTAAACACTGTGCTCAATGACCTAGTGTCTCCCCACGGATAGGTATTAAGATGAACATGGACAAAACAAAGATGATCTGTAATATCCATGTCACACCTACGCCAGTAGTTGTTGGGAGCACTAAGCTCGAAGTTGTTGACGAGTAGTTTACCTGGGACAAATATTCCGAATAAGTAAGCTTTACTTCGATCGAGGGGTCAATCGGCGGATTCAACACGGCTGGGTATCGTTTGGGAAATTACAACACATCTTCTCGTCTCTTCTCGTCAATTATACCTCAAAGCCTGAAAATGAGATTGTCCAGTGATGACTTGTAGATCTGAGACACGATCCTTCACTGCTGGCCGTATGACGACTCTCAAGGTCGCTCAGTGAGCTATGAAGAGGGCTATGCTCGGGATTTCTCTGCGTGATAAACTTAGAAATGAGGAAATCCGCAGTAGAACTACAGTTATCGACATAGTTCAACGGATTAGTAAGCTGAAGTGAAAGTCTCGCTTGGTTTGTTCTTGGTTCATCCCTGGAGAATGGTTTATATCTGAATCCTTAGTAAAAAGAAAAATGCCTTTCTATAAGTTTCACTTACAATCTATTTGATAAAATATTATTCTATTCTATTTTAGTATATTAAGTGTGCAGAAAAACCACGTTTATTATTAATAAATGGGTTAATTTATACGTCAGGAAAATGAACTGAACGTGTTTGAATTTTCAGTTTCCACACTGGTGTGAAGCATTTCCATATATATTTTCCAACTCCGCATAATAATGTGACAAACATAATAATTCGTTCTTATACTAAAACTTAAGACTATAATTATTTAATAAAATAAACGTGTGGTGGCGGAGTAAGAATATCAACCATCCCGTGGTTGACGTATGAGGTGATAGAGAGCAAATGAAAAAGGAGATATACAGCATCTTCCTAGTAACAACTGAACATAATAAACATTACGTTATATACGAGGTAGAGCCATGCTGCAGCTATATTATGGTTGTAGCAAGAATGGTTCGGCTCGACCGGGGAAGGACCACGCTCTCAGAGAATACCAGCGTCAAATAGCAGCTTAACTTTGCTGTGCTTCGTATGGTGAGTGTAGAGAACCGGAAATCCTTTTTACTGGAAACGAGGTATTCCATCTTAGTGCTCAAAGGTGACAACGCATCTGCATTTTCATTTGTAATCGAAGATAGATGTAGATGTCTATAGGCCACAGTAACCACTTACCATGAGGTGTGCTTGTTTGTCATCCTTATCATTTTAAAAAAACTGCAGTTGCCAATGGCGAATTTCACCCTAGTGAGGCAAACTATGCATAAAAACTTTGTTCAGTAGCAGTCTTTTTACATGCTGTAATGTTTGAATGACACTGAATGACTGGCGTAGTATCTATGACATTATTTTGTATCGTGGGTGCTGTAAAAGGTGTTTATGAGCAAGGCAATATAGACCCTGTAGCCTACAATAAACTGAATAAATTAGCCAGACAGATGACGAGGTGCAATGGCAATCCGTTCTTACTATAAGGGATACCCGCTACCAGTAATGGATAGTCACGTTCTGAGAAAAATATAAAAAAAGTTTGTTCTAGCTTATATACATCCCACTTCTGAGCACAGCTCTTTTATTTTCATAGCTTAACGTAATTCTTTCCAGGTGACCTTTGGATAAAGAAAAACAAAGACGGTAACTATGAGGTATTTAAAAAATTTCATTGATACGAGCGGAGATCGAACCCGAGCTACTTGCGTATTGTGGAATTTACACTGAGGTTAAGCCCTCCTTGATAGAATACATATTTATTGTATCAGGTTGTAAATTGGTTTATTCAAAAATAAAATATGCTACCTGTAGTAAAGAAAAAAGGCTCAAAAGTACTACTAACTCTAAAATACACTACTCCAAAATTAAAAATATTTTAATACAGTGGCAATTCTTTATAAAGCTACATTTATCATTGGAATACGGAATTACTGTCCTAAAAAGTGGCTACTGTACACCTGCAACATCCTTTACAGAAAAATTCGGTGTCACTGAGATGGATTATACGTAGAATAAGACAGATTGGCTTTATTTATTACAACCCATCGAAAGTTTTCAACATAGGCCTCCCCCACAGACGACTTTATAAGAGAGATTCTTGCCGTGGTTGCTACGCTTGGCATGTGGATTACCGCAGTTTTTTTATCGTAATTATTGAGTTTTTGTCAGAACGATGTTGTTAACACTTATTTCAATTCAGTCTGTTCTCTGCTGTTTAAAAATAATATTATCTTTTTCAGATTCCCAGACTAGCAACAAAAAGATAACAGAAGAACCAGAATTTGAGCGGCCCATTGGCAACCACACGTTCTTTCTCGGGCGAGAAGCAGTAATTGGTTGCGCAGTGACCAATCTCGGTAAACATAAAGTAAGTATCATTTAAATAATAAGTTAATCAGCTTTTAGTCCAAGCTATAAAACAACAATTTCTGATAATTATAAAACAGATGTTAGTTCTGTAGTTATTTTGAAATGCCAAGACAAGTCAATCATAGTCATCAACTATCTATCAATAAACTTATCTAAGATTACGCTTGCATAGTCACCATCCACGAGAACATACGTTATTATGTCAGTCAGTAGTTGATATTTGGTAGATAAAAAAAACTATTTATTTGATATCATATATCTCAGAAATATTTATTACAAGCATAGAGGGAATCTTGAAATAAGAACAAACATTTTTGAAATTGAACTCTTTATGCACATGACGTTTTACGTGGTACAAAATAAAATAGCTGTACTATTCTCACCTTTTTTCTTTTACGAGGTTGTTCATTATCATCATCATCATCATCATTATAGCCCTTCACAAGTCCATTGCTGCACATAGGCCTCCCCCAAGGAATACCATAAAGCACGGTCCTAAGCCACCTGCATCCATCGACTTCCTGCATGTCTTACCAGGTCGTCACTCAATCTAGTGGGGGGTCGCCCTACACTTCGCCTACCGCTACGAGGCTGCCACTCAAGAACCTTATTCCCCAGTCTGTTGTCGGTTCTTTGAGCTAAACTGCCGGCCCATTGCCACTTCAGCTTACTAATCCGTTAGGCGGTATATGCCGTATGTCAGTCAGTCTGGTTCTACTGCGGATATCCTCATTTCTAAGTTATCATGCATAGCCCTCTCCATAGCTTGCTGAGCGACCTTGAGCTCCCTCATACGTCCAACAGGGAAGGACCACGTCTCAGTGTCATAAGTCATCACTGGCAACACGCACTGGTTGCACAGTCTCGTTTTTAGATTTTGAGGTATATCTGACAAGAAGATGTGTCGTAATTTCCCGCACACTGCCCAGCCGAGTTGAATCCGTCAATTCACCTCTCGGTCAAAGTTGGACTTAGCTATTAGGACTATTTCTAAACTTACTCGTCATTAACTTCGGGCTTAGTGCTCCCAACAACTACCGGCATAGGTATGACATGGACGTTACCACATGATATTCGTTTCGTCTATGTTCATCTCAAGACTATCCGTTGGGAGGCACTATTGAGGTCATTGAACATAGTGCTTAGGTTTTCCAGCGATTCTGCCATAAGGACTATATCGTCGGCAAATCAAAGGTGAGTGACGTACTCACCCTTGATATTAATACCGTATCCTTTCCAGTCAATTACGAATCGTCACGCACGCAGGCACGACAATTTTCAGCCTCTTAGATAAGCCGGTTTCCGAAAAGGATTTAGCACCATAGACCACATATTATATACCCTTCGGCTAATTGCACAGAAGACTGAGGACTATTATTTGCTACTATGTCTTGGGTATGTGGACTTTGAGAAAGCCTTGGATTTCGTCGATATTTGAGCGGTGCTACAGTCCCTTCAGCGGTGCCAAGTTGACTGTCGGTATAATGAAGTGCTGAAGTGCTTGTACAGTAGGGCTACGATTGCTATCCAAGTACAGAAACAGAGTACGAAACCTATCCAACTGCAAAAAGGTGTAAGACACGGTGACGTCATATTTTTTATTTTATAGGATAGGGATACAAAAACAAGCACATAGTGCACCTGCTGGTAAGTGTTTGCTGTGACCCATAGACATCTACATCTATCCTCAATAAAGAATCAAAATGCAGATGCGTTGTCACCCGTGAGGACTGAGATGGAATGTCTTTTTTCCAGTAAAAAGGGTCTCCGGTAATCTAAACTCATCATACGAAACACAGCAGTGTTAAGCTGCTATATTACACTGGTATTCTGTGAGATCGTGGTCCTTCCCCGGGCGAGCGGACCCGTTCGTGCTACAATTATACTACTAATATAGCCTCAGCATGACTCTACCAGGTGTTAAAATTATAATCCCTGAAACTCTTCACCGCTGCGTTGGAAGACGTTTTCAAGCTACTGGATTAGGTTATTGTCATTTTCCAATTCCATAAACACCGCTATATATTAATGTGCCTTTATTGAAATTAAAAACTACTTCGATGAATTCATATGGATTTTAAAGATTATGAATCCTATTTATAAGGTATTATAACATAAATAAATCACTGAACGTTATTTCATTTGACATCTTACAACAACCACGTAGCTTAAAGTTAAATTCAGATTTTAAATTCAGCTGGTATGTTTTTGCAGAATGTATTAATTGTAAAGATGTAATCAAGTACCCCATTTAAAATTTATTTTTCTGAACATAGGTCTTTCCATATATTGCCGCATTAAGAAATATTTTCCATAGTTCCCTACCTTGGAAATTGTGTTGGAAACCGCAAGCTTTTTATAATTATTTTGAGTAATACACTGCTGGCTATCTCTTGTTACATTTTCGTCTATCGCCTTTTACGATAGTCACGGGATGGTAAGGGGTCTTAGACCTTTAAAGCAATAATATACTAAATTATTTGGTAGGAAGTAGTAATTCTCTTACGCCGTCGTTACAAAGCATTATCAATATCCTGGCTTCATTTAATGAGTTCGAAATATTTTCATTCGAGCAGATACAGATTTTTTGATGACTTTTCCCCCACAGCAAGTGGTAAACCGGCGTATAAAATTGACATCACAAATGGGATCCAACTCGCTTATCTACCGTGTGACTTTCAAAACTTGCAACACGATTAATTGCAATGTAATATAATCATAATACCACTTGATTTATCTCTCGAATAAAAATAAGTGTAGTCCTATTTTGGATATTAAATAATGCAATAAAAAAGAAACAAATACGACTATATCGGTTTCGGTTGTCGCTTACATTGCGAAATAAATCATTATTTATTAAAGACGTCATGTCTTGTGTGTCACTTTTATTATTAAGACTACTACAATAGGGATGTCATTAAAATCAGAAGATACTAGTGTATTTATATATCAGATATCTCATATTTGGCATATTTGAACAGTGGTAGAGCCACGCGGCAGCTTTTTGTACTGTATATAAAAGCCGGAGAGAACACAAAGAACGTAACGCAATCTATAACAGTTTATTCCACAATGAATTCGCTGTATTATCTTAATTTACCCGCCACCTATATAATCAGTCTTAACCTACTACCTTGCATTACACTCCTCTACACTTATTTATTACTATGCTAATCTTAAATATAACTTAACTACTTAACATTATTGTATCAGCGCTTAATCAATAATGAGGTTTTTGAGTCTACATTGCCTTATAGGGCGACTCCGAGGCTCTGTGGGCGGTACAACGTTTGGCAAGGTATCCTGATACGCATGTGAACACGGGTTCTCACTGGTCTTTTAAGCCGATTTCAGCCTCTGAGGTTTCTAACACCCCACGGTCATCCCGATCCGCCGACCGACCCGGCTGAGGCTTTCCCACCTCTGGTGTCACCGTCGGCTCGTTGGTTGAATTTGTGCTGCAACCTGACTGAGGATCATTGTAAGGACATGTCATAGATAACCTTAAAGATCTCCTTTTTAATTGGTCTATATGTCTATGAATTATTTCGCCATCTTTTCCCTTAATTGTATGGCTATTAGGACCCCTAACGTCTACTACTTGACCACTGCCCCACTTTTCTCCTTTCAAGTATTGACTATACCAAACATCTTCTAAAGGATTCAGTTTTCTGTCTCTTCCTTTGGCTAAGTCTTTCTGATGTCGTTGAACCTTATAAATCCTGTTTTCCCTATCTGGTTTTAAAATATCTAACTTAGTGCGCAGTCGTTTATCTAACAATAACATAGCGGGGCTCTCGCCGGTGGTTGAATGCTCCGTATTCCTATAATATAGCAAAATAGTTTGTAGTTGCCTGTCTACGTTTTGTTTTTCCTACACCGCTTTCTTTATAACCCGCTTCAAGGTTTTTACTGCGTTCTCAGCTAAACCGTTCGAAGCAGGGTGATACGGAGCCGTGAAAATATGATCGATACCGTGACTGCACATGAAGTTATTGAATTCTAGACTTAAGAACGGGGAACCATTGTCCGTCACGATTTGTTTAGGTAGTCCCCAACGACTGAAAAGTTCCCTTAACTTATCTATTACCCTTGTGGCTGCCGTACTCGCTACTTGATAGATTTCTAGCCATTTTGACATTGCATAAACCCCTACCAAGTACGTTTTTCCAAAAACGGGCCCCATAAAATCTAAATGTATCCTTGACCAAGGACGATTGGGCCATTGCCACATACGAGGCGTCTGTTTTGGCGGAGCATCCGCCTGCGCCGCGCATATCTCGCACTCCCGGCATATCCTCTCCACCGCCTCGTCCACACCGGCCCACCAAACATAGCTTCGAGCTATAGCCTTGGATTTGACAATGCCCATATGAGATTCGTGAATCATACATAAAAGTTTTTCCTTACAGGCATCCGGAACAACTAGTCTATGCCCCCACATCACACAGCCTATTTCCTCAAATAATTCATTCTTACGATTAAAAAATGGTTGTAACGAAATGTAAATACGTTTGCTCGGGTGCCGCATAAGTCATCTTACTAGACGACAGCGGCAGACGCGACAGGCCGTCCGCTCCATTCACATCGGTACGTATGTACTCAAAATCAAACAAATAAGCGGACAAAATAATTGCCCACCGTTGCATCCGACTCGCTACCATAGTTGGTATACCTGTGTTAGGTCCAAAAAGGGACACTAGCGGCTTGTGATCGGTGCGCAGAGTAAAATGCCGACCGTACAAATACTGATGGAATTTATTTACGGCAAATATATTCGCTAATGCCTCGCGGTGTATCTGCGAGTAGATTTTCTCGGCGTCGTTAAGTGTGCGTGACGCATAGGCCACGGGGCGCTCGCGACTGCCGTCGTCGCTCGGTTGCAACAACACGGCCGCTATCCCTCTGGCGCTCGCGTCACACGTTACTATAACCGGCCGCTGGGGGTCGTAGTGAGCTAATACTTCCGCGCTGATTAATACATTTTTAACTTCAACA